ATTACATTGAGCTTGAACAACAGTAAGTGATTATCCTGTCTGTGCCATGTGTGTTTCTGGTCAACAAGCGCTGGTATTATTGTTATTATCACAAAAGGAAAATCAACTACAAAAAGGCAAAAATTAATCAAATAGCAAGTATTCTAAGGAAAACAGCAAACAATCTCTTCTTAAAATTATAAATGTTTACCAAGTTTTTTACTTTTAATATTTTGGGATCTCAGTAAATACCTCCCTACTAGCTGTAGTCACCATATCCATTCTTTGATAAGTGGACTTATTCCTCTTAACTAGTTTGAACAACTTGATGACTCTCCATATAATGTAAACTGCTATCCATATCATCGGCAGATAGACTAGTATGTATTGGATGATAAAAGCAAAGAGGGAGAGATTTTCCATTGAAATAGACAATGTATACTGATAGAGAGTGATGCTGTTGATAATAATGATCAACAGGAAAATGCAGCCATCGATTTGATTATGTACTCTTTTCTTGTATGGTTGAAGCACCAGAATGATAGTGACCATTATACACAAGAGTACTTGTTGTATGAGTACTTGAGCAATGAATGTGCTTGTCGTTATGTAGGCCAATATCATTGCTATGCGCATTGTAAAATAAAGACTAGACACCCATCTAAGATCAACAAAAAAGGAATCCTTAACACATAACATAGAAAGATGTTGAAACACTGTGGCTTTATTGTGATTTAATTCAGTAGCAATATCCAGGTCTTCCTCGTCTTCAGAGTCATCAACAATACTTCCATCTTTAAAGTCATGTTGTAGAGACTTCAAGATTATGTTTAAGTACAAGATACGACTTGAATTCCTGTATCGACAGAAGAAAAGGAATGGTGGTACTGGTAGTAGAAATATCATTAACACCAGTACAGCTATGATAACACATACTAAATGCTCTGTACTTTGACCATACTTGGTAGAGGCATCAAAATATGACACTGTAGTTATATTGTTATGAGAGGCATCAAAAAGTTGAGCAGGATACAGTATATAGCATGTGTTTAGAGCACAGCGTGTGTAAGCAAGTAGTATGCAAGAGGCCAAAACATTTCTTAATGATTTTTCTGGTCTGATTTCAGCATAAATTTTAAACTTTCCCCAACGATCATTAATTATTTCATAGCAACGCTTCAAAGGATTAAGGCAACAGAAACGGGACAATTCAATCCTATCACCGCAGCGATGGTAGATAAAAATTAGGAATACAAAGAACAGTGGAAGGAGAGCCACAAAATATTGTATGGCAAATATTGAGTTCATTGACAAACCTGGAGCTAAACAATACTTGATTGGTTCAATGAAATCAAGATTCCATACTAAGTACAACACATCATAAACCTGTACTAGGACATCTGAAGCATCTGTTGCATTTCTTAACGGTACTTCACCGTTACCACTAATATCCAATGAGGTGGTTATAGTTTGAGCAAAAAAAATTGCACCATTGAGATAACCAGAAGCCAATGAGAAGTTAGTAAAGTAAAGAATAAAGAACATTACTGA